CCCCCCCCCCCCCCCTCAAGTATATGCGTACTTATTCAGACTATTCACTATTATATCGTCGATCAGGTACCACGAGGAAGCTTCGCCAGGGACTCCTGGGATCCCACTAGGTCTCCCCTCTCAGCTTATGGCTATCTCAACACCCATCTTTGCCCGGGCGGGCAATAACAACCGCTTATTGAAAATATGATTGTTGAATCACTGATGGCGGATAGCGGGTGACCCATGCATATAATAAACTTGGCTGTGTGTAAGAGTCGCGCACGAGAGCTGGGAACGCACCTCGGAGCACCACCTGACGCTACGGGAGATCAGTGGTTCTCCATTGACGTCATCCTCTGCACCTGGCGATAAATGAATCCCCAGATGGACTTAGGGATAGCGGGGAGACGCGGGGCGGGAGCAACAATCTTCTGACGAATTTTCAAGTGATTTCTCGAAATTCCAATCCGACGTGAAAATTCTATTTGTACCATTTGTCACGGTGCTAGGACGCGGGAATGAATTATCGGGGGGGTCCGGAGTCGGGTGGATCTTTATTAATCGAAGGAAAATAAAATTCTTTCTCATACCTTTCTTATTAGGGATATATACGTGTGTAATATTATATTGTAACTATAGCTTACGTGTCCTGTTCTCTGGTACTTAATTTTTTAACATCGCGATAGGAACTTTGAAAAAATTTTTATGGTCCTCATAATGACTGGCAGAAATTCTGGCACGGTTAGATAAGTTTTCTAGGAGAGGAGTCACGATCAATTTGGTGCGACGTGTCGATATGAGCAGCCCGAATGTTTGAAACCGTGACGAGTGAAAATACAAACAGTTTAACAGGGATGAGTAGGTCGTTTAGCGTTCCTAGGACCAGATACTCTCTTCTCCCCTCTCGTTCCTGCGTACTGCTCCGTAAAGCACTGTGTGTATATACATACAAATAGCATCGACGTGATTGAACCTACTGCCAATCACTCGTTGTACCTTTGTTCACGACGAATTTGATTGTACAAGCTTTCGTTGGGTTGGAAATTCGTAAAAATAATAAATATTCAGAATCACGTGAAATGGGTGAAATAAAAAAGTAATTTCAGTCACCGAAAATTTTTTTTATTTCGTAGAGCAGCCTATGTCTGTCTCTGTCTACCGCACGTGAACGCCCATAAGTCCGTCTCTCTCGCACTCGCGGGCGATATAGGAAAGGTCGAAAAATTCATGAATCTTGAAATACCGGATCTGTCCACTTTTGTCACCGATACTGTAGGATATTTCTTTTCCCATTATCTCATTGCGAACATCCAGGGACACCTGTCGAGTACAGTCGCAACGCGAAAGGTTAATAATTCCGTATACCTACGAAAGTGGTCAATGGTCAACAGTGGTAGTAGACCTGGATTACGTAAGTTTGCCTAACCTCTCGCCCTCCCGTCAGAGAATCAATTATTGGATCCATATATCAATCTGATGGCCGAGCACGATTGTGCTACGCCGAGTCTCCCGCTGTTTTACGCATTTCCCCTCTTCGAGTCTTCGTCCTCTTCGCCACAGAGCGCGCGCTCGGCGCGCACGAATGCCGGCGGGCCGAGATGTCAGGGCGCGGAGAGGCAGTGCGTGGAAAGGCCGATTTTGTATGGCTGCGAGATATAGAGGCAGAAATGAAAAAAAAAAGTGTATATAAAAAATTTTAAGAAAAAAAAAGAAAGATAGACAATTTAAAAACGATAAAGAGAAAGATAACCGAGTTTGTACCATATATATATATATACAGTAGGTATAATACGTCCCATGTTGATTTTCGTATAGAGTGACTGACTTTCTTTCTCATCTCCGCAGGGGGCAGACGAAGATGACAGCGCTTCTGTTGCTTCGGTAAGTTCATCGTTCGAATCTCTTCCTCTTATTATTATTATTATTATTATCAGCATCGTACTTACGTACGTTTAATCGCTCGAGGCGCAAGAGAAAAAAGATTTCACGCCAGTGGCGTAGGACCACGCCCTTATCGAGGCTACTTCCTCCTTTCAATGCGAAACCGCCTGTACGTCTTTTACGTGTGCTCGCACGCGATACGCTACGGATCCCAGAGTCGTAGGTCCTTTTTATTGTTGTTATTATCATTATACCCGTGCCGAATATTGCGCCTCCCGCATCCGACCTGAATTACGAGTTCTCGTCGTTCGAGCCTTCGTTAATGGGCTCGGTGGGTATTGTACTAATGCCGTCTTTTGCCTGGTTTAAGCAATTGGACGGAAAGTCACGCGAATGGCTTGTCAGAGCCGCCCAAGGAGATTACCAGGCGCTCGCGAAGCTCGCTGCCGAGGAGCCACGACTGGCCAGACTCAAGGTAAGAAATTTCAGACTAATTTTTACCAGTGATCGTTGCGTGTATAGTTGTATATATATATATATATATATATACGTGTTCGTATAATTAAAAGATATTTTCGATATGCTTAAAATTAACTTTGATACTGAAAGAGACTTTTTGGAATTTTTTTAACAATCCCCAAATCAATGTCAATGTTAATCCTACGGTTAAGAGGTGCCTCGTGATCCCGTTGGGACGCCATTAATCGGTCTGTCACTGCGCATGCGCGTCTATGAGTTACCTCGGCAGAGACGTGCGAAGATGGACGTCGTGTGCGATACGGATTGAAGGCTGTGCGTTTGGGCTTGTAAGGTATGACCGATACTCGTAGGGGGAGTAATAGGCGTATATATAGACACGTATATATATATATATATTACACAGTGATAATCACGAAGCCTTGGAAATAATAATTACGGTGTGGCTTATTACTGCACGTCGATCGGCCTGTTATTACGTGCGGGCAGGTTAACACCTGGGACGTGGTAAATTTGCCGTTTTCGCGCGGCACCAATGACAGGTTAATAAATCTAAGAGCCCCCATGGCAATCAAGCAGCCGGTGTACGGGCAACCATGTGGAATGCGGCATCGTGAAAGCCCTTCTAGCGAGGTTCTACAGCGCGCGCAGGGTCCTTCATTGCTTTCAACGTAACAGCCAGCTGTAATGCCTCTGTAATCTATATATGTATATACACGCTTTGGGAAACCTACGGGGATGAAGATATAGGTATATATATCTGGTAAAGCAGAAGTACGAGGATGGGCTGTAGGTGCGAGGATAACGGCGGTACGGCTGGGTTTCGAAGGTGGTACCCAGAGAGGGTTGGTGGACGGAGGTGGTCCAACCGCACGGGGGCTGCTGCGTGCTGAATTCATTCCGCTGGACAAGGTTGCCTCAACCCATCCGGTAGCACCGGCGGCCTCATCCCCTAGGGATAAATTGGCCAAACCCGCGTGTTTGCGGATAACATCGCCGCGATATACATACGTACATATCCATGGCTGTTAACCCTACAGCGCCTATGAGGGGGTGAGGAGAAGG